AGGTGTGGCATGGAAAGCTGAAAGCTCTGGCCGCCGTCTTTGGTGATTGGGAAGAATCATATGCATTCCTTCCCAGGTTGATTTTGGCATTAGAGGTGTCTAACCCTGCCACGGTTTTCTCCCCTCGATACCAAGATGAAGAGATACAGCCGCCAGCTCCCAGTGACAAACGCCATTTCAAACATCTTTTTTGGGCATTCAAGCCAACTATTGATGGTTTTGGATTCTGTGTCTCTGTGATCCAAGTGGATGGTACATTCCTTACCGGCAAGTACAAGGGCACTCTCCTGATTTCCAGTGGTGCGGATGCAAACAGACAAGTCTTTCCTTTAGCCTTCGCCATTGTTGAGGGAGAGAATGTCGATAGCTATGGATGGTTTTTCCAGCAAATTCAGCTCCACGTCACCAGGAGAACGAACCTGACAATCATCTCTGATCGACACGCCGGCATCAGAGCTGTCATCTTAGGTTTGGATCCAGCCTGGAAGTGGTCCCAAAGGTGGTGCATACGACACTTCAATAGCAATTGGAACCATCATTTCAAGCGGAAGAAGCTTGTTGATAATTTATGGTGGATTGGTAAGCTCTCTATTTCACTGGTTGTTTAATTTTGTCAAATAACAATAGCTTATATCTAATTCAATGCAACACCTTGTTAGACTCTTTGTAAAGAAATGCATGCCTAATGAAATGGGGTTTTAAGCGATTATCATGATCCTCCCATTCCCTGGGAAAATCGGGTTATAAGCGATCCTCGGATCCCCCCTTTTTCTGTCAAAAAGGTTGTGTTTCTAAGGAGATGTATACCTCTCCTAAGAGTTTAACTATTGGTTGTTTTAATTAAATGATATCGACAATTAACACTAACTTATGTATTTTCTGTGTGTTCATCAGCTGTTGCCTACCAAGAGAAAAAATTCAAGGAGAAGCCGCAGAAGCTGCGTGAGTTATGCCCTGAAGGGGCATTGTGTCTGGATGAACACGACCAGTCCATGTGGACTTTCCATAAAGACGGAGGTACCAGATGGGGTATTGCCACAACGAACTCAAGTGAGAGTATCAACTCCGTCTACTAGGCGGTTCATTCACTGCCAATCTCTGCCATTGTTGAGATGACTTTCTGGAAAACGAATGCATGGTTCGTCAATCGACTGCACTGGGCAAGGACGAATGAGGCACAGGGAAAGGTCCATGCCTATAAAGTCACGGAAATAATGGAAAATGACAATAGAAAGAGCAGTCGGCATAGTGTAACCGTTATGAATCGAGCAACTGGCGAGTATAGCGTGAAGACCGGACACCGGGAGGATGGTAGACGTGGTGGCCATCGCCATGAAGTTTTGGTCAATTTCAGTGCAAAACTTGGTGAGTGCTCCTGCCAGAAGTATCAGGGGAGAGGATGACCATGTTCGCATGCAATGGATGTAATCAAAAGTAGGAGCAAAGACCCTCGGCACTTCGTGAGTCCATTCTTCAATATCGACTCACTAAAAAGTTGCTATGGACGGAGCTTCCGTGCATTGCCTGATGAAGCTTATTGGCCGGTGTATCAGGGAAAGTTGATCATACCTCTGTTTGGGCAGAGGCATAAACTGGGTCGCCCGAGGGTAAAGAGAATGATATGTCCATGAAAAAGCAATAAATTTAATTGATTAAACGGAATTACTTACCAATGCACCATTGGCCGCACCCTCCGGAGTCACGTACCTAACCGATTGTTGTCGATATCTATCTATGTATGGGTCATGATAGCCCATTCGACCCACAACTGTAGGAGTGACAATCTCAAAATCTTGTTGGTTCTTCCACATCCGGATGAATTTCGACACCTTCAAGGGCCAATCTTTCTCACCTTGCCGACCATCTCGGTGGTGAAACGCTCTTTGACTCTCGGGGACCTGCAAAGGAATGCATTGCTCCCGACCAAACTGACGGAGGCATCTATTCGGCAAATGCCACTCCACGATATGGTGACAAATGAGAGGGACTCTCGTGCACCATTGACCGATATGACCCGGAAATTGCTGGCAATGCCATGTAACTATGTTGGCAGGGTATGGATCGTAAATGATCTACAAAAAGAAATGATAAACTTAAGTTAAACGAAATTGGAAAATACATGTACTCCATCAAAAAAAGTTATAACATTTCAAAGTATTCTAGTTACCTCTCCCTCCCAAAGTCGCTCTAGTCTCCTCCGATACTCCGCCAACTTGTGTTGGGAAAGGTTGTCGCATGTTGTGGCTCCAACCCACCTTATTAGTAAGACAATAATGAAATGTTATAACTAAATAACGATTTTTTTTTTTAATGAAAACCATGATTGGGTATGAGAAATTTACCTACAACCATAAGCTTCGCCTCATAAGGGATGGTCGACGGGCCAATTCCTGTTGGGAGGTTTCTCCGGTGCAATCCATGGCAGATGCTCCCAAGCCCAAAATTGAACGATGAACATTGCCCCGCCAACCTCCCTCACAGCTTTGAGAGATGCATTACACAAATGGTGGTAGATATTAGCTAGGCAAGCGAATGCCCAACTCAACTCCCTCATTGCATCCCAACTACCAAGGAGGATCCTAAGCCATCCACAGCTAAGTAAATTGTTGGATTTTTTTGGAGAAGAACACTCCTCCGATCATGCCTATGAGATAGACACGAGCATATCTTTCCTTCACCTCCTCGGGACTTTCCTCGATCAGGGGCACCCCGCCTTTTGTAGGATCGTGTTGGTCCTTCAACCACTTCGTCAACCAAGTGATTGATACTTGGTTTTTCCTCAATGGTGCTAAGCGATTTGTCGCATCAACGCTCCCCTTGATTGGCACTCGCACCCCCCAAAACACTGTGGATCAAATGCTGCCACCCGGTCATATCGCCAACATCCTCGGGCGCATGATCACTCATACACACCGCTTTGCCGTTGATGGGCAGATGGGTTAGGATGGCGACGTCCTTTAGAGTGATAGTGCACTCTCCTTCGCGAAAGTTGAAGCAATGTGTCTCTTTTCGCCATCTCTCCACCAATGCGGTGATGAGTTGACGATCGATTTTTATGCACGAAATGCCTAATAGACTACAACCGTGCCCTTTTTAGAAAGGGCAAAATAACGTCGTTCCATGGGAGCACATTGGTCATACCCCTGTACCGGAGTATTTGGTATGCTTCCTAGCGAAAAATTTAACGTTATTTATGATATACTAGTAATAGTTTTTTTTATAACTAAATTAATTAAAATAAATGAATTAAATTTGACCATAATTTTATTATAATTATATTATTAACAAACAAATTAAAATAATTAAATGTTTTTTCCAAGATATATTCATAATTTCATAAAGCAAATATACTTAATAAATTAAATTAAATAACATTTAAATGAATAACAAATTAAAGAGATACATATTAAAATATTTGAAATTAATAAAATTATAATTGTACACATACACATAAATCGTATTGGTTGTTTTAAATAATTTAATCGTATTGGTTGTTTTAAATAACTTAATCGAATACAATGCAACACTCGTAAGACTCTTAGAAGAGGTAAACATCTTCTTAGAAACGCAGCCTTTTTGACAGAAAAATGGGGGATCTGAGGATCGCTTAAAACTCGATTTTCCCAGGGAATTTGAGGATCATGATAATCGCTTAAAACCCCATTTCCTTAGGCATGCATCTCTTTATAAAGAGTCTAAGTAAGTGGCGATATGTATTCGATTAAATTATTGAAAACAACAAATACGATTAAAAATGATCAAATTTATTTTATATTCCACTAAGTACGTTAACAAATTAAAAGAAAGAGAAATGATGAAGAATTGTATGTACCTCGCGATCGTTCCAAACATCTCTTTAATGATGGTTGAGTTGGTCGTACAACACGGTTGGGTCACTAGGCCCTTGATCAACATAATACCGTTGGTTGTAATAACAACAACATTTAGTAATGAGTACGTACCCAACCTACAAGAGAATAACAACAACTTTAGTACATAGATTAATTGAAAATGTTATAACAACAACATTTAGTAATGAGTACGTACCGCTTGAAATTCATCATAATAAATTCCCTCTTCTTGGAACCACTCGTCCATTTTTCGCGAAAGTCGGACATAGATTCGGCAGGTTTTGAAGGAAAAGCCAAAGAAATATTTTCTGATGGCAGATCAGACTTAGCCGCAAACAGACCACTATTTCATAGGCTTTTGGGAGGGGAGGGGATGGATAGAGAGATAATTTTAGAGAGAGAGAGAAGAATGGGTTGTGGTGTGAAAAAATGAGGAGGGGGAGGGGGATATTTATACCCTTCAGACCGCACCCTTCAGGGGCGGTATGATAATTTTGCCCATTGCAAAACCGCACTAGGAAGGCGCGGTTCACGGCGACCGAGGCACTGACCGTTCGCCAGGCGCGCGATCTTCGATCCATGACGCGGATCGCTGCGTTGGCGCGCGGTTAGCCGTTAGATCGCCACCTCATCCAACGATCCTGGGGACCGCCGAATCGGGAACGCGGACTGCACACTGAGTGCGGTTTTCGGACTGCCCTAGCGTGGATCACTCCCCCGTTGTACGGTTTGCACATAAAACGCACCTTGAAGGTGCGGTTTATATTTAAAGGTGCTAGTTTTGGATTTTTTGTGGACTGTGTGCTATTTTTGAAATTTTTTGTTTTTTTAATGGTGCTATTATTGGAAAAAAATCCTCAAACTAGTTGGATTGAGAACTATCAGTAGTACCTGCAATTACGAGTTTGATTGCCATCACTGCCCACCTAAATATCCAGAGTTAGTATAGCAAAACCATTCGAAAGCTGACCCTTATTAATTTTCCAATTCAAAATCAGCTGCAATCTCGCCCCTGTACATCCAGGCTCATCGGTCACCTGCTCCAAGGTTGCTCCCAGTTCCCTTTTTCTGCCATTCAACTTAGTAACTGAGAAACCAATGTACATATTCATCTCTTGCATGATTCAAACAAAGCAACCACACTACAACATCAGTATCAAAATTCACTTTTTCTAGTCTTTATTTGATTAAAAGAGCAAAAACAATTCCAACAATAACATCCAGTTCGGTCCAACCTCACTACATTTGATCTATTTTTTAAGCTGTCTTACGCCAGAGTTGAATATAAGAAAATTGCAAATTCTACAGGTGCAGCAGCTCTGGCAGAAATTCTGCCCATTATGAACTATCCTCAAATTACAAACAGTGCAAAGCTTACTGGGATTCACAGCTCATATAACTGCCATCCCTTTGCTTACTTTGTCCTGTTATGTCTACAGTGTACACACAAGGTAACATCACGATCAATCTAAAACTACGCTACAATTTCTACTACTACTCCCCATTCTTCTCCTCTTCTTATCATCATCAAACTCCTGCAACGTACATGGGCGATTCAGTGACGAGTGGAGAACCAATTCAAGATCCCAAGACAGCCATAGTCGGCTTGAAAGAGCACCAAATCAATTTGGAATCAATATTGAACATAAAATTCCACTAACCTGCTGATGCTGCTGCTGCCCAAGCCCGTAGGGTGCCCATACTCTCTTTGACCCATCAAGTGCCCTTTTGTTTAGAAAGTTCGTTTTCCCAGAAACGGTATGGCTGCTATTATTAGTCACCTGCAAAAGCATGCAGCAACGCTTCAATTGATGCTTTTAGAAACCCAACCACAACGAAAGTAAGCATGCTGCCACAATATAAGGATATTCAAATTCAATCATGATAACACTCACCTGGTTTTTGATGTTTGCAACCAACAATTTATGACATCCTGTTGCATGTACACTTTCCAAACTCGGACATTGAAGGAGCAGTCTCTCTGAGTACACAAAACAGCAGTAGGAAAATGTACATGTCGAATTAGAATATGATACTTACAACACTTCTAACGGAAGAAAATTGTAACGCATGACAAGAAACCACAAACAAATACCTGGATGCAAGTTTTTGCAGGAGTTGAGATTCAGATCATTGAGTTTTGGGCAGTTGAGGCATAGAGCCTGCAGGAGTTAAGTGCAAAATTAGCTAAGAAATTTTTCAAGATAAAATCGAGCTGCACATAAAGTACTGTTTTGAAGGGAAAAAGTCCTCACGTCCAAGCCAGAACAGCCCCACAGGCTGAGTTTTTTAAGTCGGGCATGCTTGATAATCAGCTTCTGGTATATTAGGTGTAATTTATTTTCAAATGTCGTCTGCAACTCAAATTCATTACTCCCGCCACTGCTTGGACTATCAGAACTTGGGTCACATATGGTCATGCCACAATCCATGAGTTCGAGATGAGGCAACTGGGCAGTAGCAAATTGAATTCCACCTGAAAATTGAAAGGACTGTTGAATTAAGCATTTAGGCCAAAATGAAACTAACAAAGTACAGTACAAAAGGGGGGTGAAGATTACTCGAAGTGACGTTAGGACAAAGAGCAAGGAGCAGTCTTGACAAGGTTCCAGGAAGCACATTGCAGATCATTCCAATACCACTGTCACTAATGCTGGACCTGGAACAGAGTTTTCAATTGTCAAACACCGTTTCAAAGGATTTATGACAACAAGCCAAAGCTTCTAGAGTTCTAGCCCTTGGATGGAGAGAATACTCTGAAAGCAAAACTCACCCACTCAGGTCAAGCAATTCAAGTTTTGAATAGCATGAAGAAATGGCAGCAACAGATGCATCAGTAATACCAGCTCCAAGCACAAGAGAAAGCATTCTCAGACTCCTACATCATTGTGAAACCAAGAGACCATTATATAACATTCTTATGGATATAAGAATGTCCATCTGGGATGTCACCCTCAATGAAGTTGAAGTACAATGACCATGCTGAACTATAACATAGACTCTGGCGTCAGCAAGTCTCGACATACCTTAAGTTTGCAGCTGTAAGTGCAAGCACAGCGGCATGAGAAAGCCTAACAGATGCAATGTGAATGTTCTGCAACCTACTACAACTCCTACCCATATTATCAACCATTCCAACAAGATCGGTAATGTCATTTTCTTGCCAGGAAAATTCCAGCGAAATCTCCCTCATATTGGGGCAGTTAAACACCTGCACAAAAGCACAACCAAATGATCAGCATTGCTAAAGATATTTTCGAAGCTCAGAAAAAAATCATAGATTAATAGTAAGCAAAAGAATAATGAACAGTACCATTTTAGATAGAGAATGAAGATCTGAAAGCCAAAGGGTGGATAGACTCGATGAACAGAGAACAAAGCCCCCCAGATTAGAGCATCCTTCCATCTTAAGGCTTGTGAGGCAACGTTTGTCAGCAACAAAACGGCCCAACTCATCTCTGCAGAAAGTGCATTGCAGAGCATATCTAATTTATCAGCACATCATAAAAGTACACCACATCATGACACACAAAATGATGAAGATACATCATAAGCTGTATCGTAGTATTGCAAACAACAATAAAGTCTTAACAGACAATGTTGAACTCATTCCATCATAAATCATGAGAAGAATCAACTTGGATGTCTAAAGTTATTATAAGCTTATTTAAAACGCTAGGTGTCCTTATATACATTTAAATGCTATCAAATGCACCTCACTGGTGGTATGTAATTTAAACTACTCCAACCCGCAATTGCTGCCAAACAACAACTGACCGCCCAAGCCAGATATCATGCAATTAGTTGATCTCTCTAGAAATTCAATGTAGTTTTTGATCATGAATGCTTGCTTTAAATGGTGAAGTAACAATATCCAAACTGAGGTCATGTGTGAAAAGCTCCTAGATCCACTCCGTAATCAGCTGAAAAACTAGCACTACTTCACAGAACAGATCCATTATGCAAACAGAGAAAACATTACCCTGTGATGCGATTGACTGCAGATTCAGATATACATATCTCCATGGACTCCAGATTGGGACAGGAAAACGCTATGCAAGCCAGCATTGTTGCTTCCACATCACTGCAGCCAAGATAACAAGTGCAACCATTTGTCAATTCGTGGAACCACACTAGTTCCTTCAAGTTCGGCACTGTATGATTCCTAGATCAAACGTCTGAGCATTTTCATCAACATTTTGATTCGTCATCTGCGGGTCAATTTAAAATTTTATCTTTTCATTTGATTTGAATAACGATCTTGGTCATTGTCCAGCCCAAGCAGGGATAGTGCCCATTTTCAGCCGTTCAAACCATTATCTCGAAAATGTGGTTTAAATCTTAGCCGATCCACAGTACTAGACCATCGGATCTGGCAAAAACAATACGAATCAAAATAAATCCCCTCGGTTGGAAAAGGAAACCCTAACCTTTCCATCCTAAGACTGAGCCTAACAAGTCCAGGACACTTCTGCAACACAGATCCAACAAACCCTAGCTGAGCTCGGGGAGGAACTCTAATCCTGAGCTCCTCCGCAGCTCTCCACAACCGCTTCGCAGTATCCCTCCACCCCTTGCACACAGCCGCCGCAGCCAGCAACCCAGCCGGCGGCAGCCTCCTGAGCACCTCCCACGTACAGCTCGACGGCAGCCCGCCGGGCCCCGATCCATCCAGATCCAGCTCGGAACCAAGCTCCCCCAGCTCCGGGGAGTCACATCGCATGTCGATATCGTCAAACGATAACGCTCTGCGGAGGTTCGAGCTCTGGTGGCGAACGGATGACGGCGGCGGGGGTCGGGAGGAGGACAGCGAGGCTGCGGCAACGGCAGAGGAGGAGGAGGTGGGAGCAGGCGTGACCACCGCGACGGGAGAGTCGGCGGCGGGCGGCGGAGGTAGGTGGCAGACGTGGCCCTTCTTGGGAAGGCCGCATCTGCCGCAGTTGTAGCTGCCGCGCTGCTTTTTGGAGTGCCTGTTGTTGTAGTCGAATGAAGCGGTGGAGCCGCCGGGAGTCGCCGGGGAGATGTGGGGCTGGTGGTGGTGGTGGTGAGGGTGAGGATGGGGGTGCATGGCGGCGGAGTCACCGGAGAAGAGGAGCGAGAGAGGGATTTGAGGGGAAGGAGCGGGGGCGGAAATAAAGGAGATGAGGTTTTTAGGGTGAGGAACGTGGGGGAGATTGGATTTGCAGAAGAAGAGGGTTTGGTCGCGAAGAGGGGGCGGGAGAATCAGGAGATTTTCGCGCCTTGGTGTTCAAAGAAAATTTTTGCGGAAAAAGGAAAATTAATTGTTGATTTTTCTATTATTATGGAGAGGAGCGGGGTGGGAATGGCATGTTGTGTGAGTGACTACGTGGTGAATTGACTGTACTGCCCCTATGGTAGTGGAGAGGAGCGTCTACGCGGGGGATGGCTGGGTGGGAATTGTGGTGTTTTGTTTGTTTCCGGAGATTGGAAAGGTAACGTACGATTTCCATAATTTATTTTGGTTTCCTTTATTATATTTTTCCGATTTCAGTATAATTTTTTTCTTCCCGTTGGTTCATTGGTTCCCTCCATATTTTGCCGGGGTTTCGGTGCTTGTTGTTACTGTTTTCCTTTGTTTTTCAAATCTGGAGGAGACTGCAGGGTACATGTTCACACTTTTACTTCATTATATTTCGAACTCTTGACTACAACTACGGGAAAGTAGAGAGATATTTCCTTTTTTCAAGGATAAATGTAGAAATGTTTTGAACGCGAAAATCTGAGGGAGATAGGATTCTTCTATTCGGATTTGGTGGTATTTTCATTCGATTTCTATAAATGATATATCACGGTTAATTTTTTTTTATATTTCATCAACAAAACGTTATTAACGTAGCATTCCTCTCAAATGTGAAGATTAAAATACCATATTCTACCGGTAGTTTGAACCTCTAAATACCAGTAGCAGAGCCAAAATTGAGACGATATGATCATGGGAGGCAAAAAAACGTCTCTATCGCTTTTAGCGGTTGAACTGTTGAACCGCAAAATACTGAGCGATTTAATGTGTACTGCTCAAACCGAAAACAAGATAGAAAAAGATATTGTCCCCCCGCAACAACGTCTTTTGATCTGGTGAAGGAAAAAAGGGACAAACACAAAACCCTAATTCTCAACCTTAGGCATTAGCACCCCCCAACACCCACTCGCCGTCCTCTCCAGCGGCCTCACTCCAAGTCTCCAATAAAGCATCGGTTGCTCTGCGATCCCGCCTCCATTGTTAGAATCCGAACAAAAAGTAAACAGATTACCCAAATCTAGTTGAGTTGTGGACTAGGTTGCTCTCTTTGAGACGTTTGCGACACTACCTCTCGTTGCGCACAATAGATTATCAGTCGGGTAGCCTCCAGGATAAAAAAACACCACTCTTGTTGCTCGTCGGTTTTGTGCGAAAATCGGATCTCTCTAAACTCACTCTCTCGTGTTTCTACTCTTCGAAGGTGTGTTTAGAGGCTCTGAGGGGTCAACTATCTATAGAATCCAAAACCCCAGAATATTCTTATTTCGCGGGGAATAAGTCACGATTTAATTAACAGATAAATATCTCCTTAATTAAAACGTGTATGATAAGAAATTATCTCTCTAATATTCCTTTCAATTAATTATCCTTTTCGTTAAACATAAGGAATAATTAAGTTAAAATTTTCTCCAAAAAGAATTAGTTTGAACCGAACCATCCACTCACCCAATCGACATACCAGTCGGTTGGACAGACGAATCGCGCGCATGTGTTAGTGGTCTATTAGGTCTTCCCTCTCCCACAAAAGTGGGTCACCCCAAGCAGAAAGAATTTTATCGAGAACGAGTATCACGGTCTATTGACCGAGATTTTGTATTAAGGGTTGTATGAAGATGTATACATGATGCAAATGAAGTTGATGATTAAAAGGTAGAAAATTTTGGCATATGAAGGTGATTGGAGTTAGCTGTAACATAGGATTTTCTCACTTATCAATTGATGTTAAGTATTAAGACGGTTTAAGTAAATAAAGTAATTTTGTTATGATTAGTAATAAGCTGATGCCTAATTGGTTAATAGGCTAAGTCGTGGTTTAGTGGGCGATGTAGGACTCGAGTTCGGTAGTCATTTAGAGAAGGCATGGCAGAGCCCTAACGGCCTAGCCAGTTCTCTTCTCATCTGCTCCCTCTTCGTCAACTCTAAAAAAATGACTGGAACCAAACTTCCTTCTCCTCTGTTCCTCTTGATATGCTTCTTACTCCGATTCTTCGTCTTCGTCCTCTCACCTACTCATTCCTGATCTCTCTCTTCCTCACGTGGATTCATTTCTTTTGTCATTCTCTCTTGGACAGAGATGGAGAAGGAGATGAAGGAGGAGACGGAGGAATCGCCGATGGCTTCGAGTCTTGCCTACGACAGTGGCGCCAAGGCCTCACCAACAAGAAAGGCAAGATCTCTAGACCCTTTTTGTGCTCTTTGAATTTCTGGGTTTTGATTTATTATAAGCTTTTTGATTGATTTTTATTTTTTTAGATGCAAAGGTTTGATTGGGAAGGAAGAAAGAAAGAGACTGTTGGCCGGCGAGGACTTCTGGGGAAACCGTCGATGGCTACTGGTCTCGCTGACGATGAGGGAGCCAACTCACCGGAGCGGATTATCTAGTAAGTATTTTTGGGGGTTTTTATGCTTTTATTCGTTTTTCCTTTAAAAGATTTTCAAATTTGTTTCTTCAATTTCTGGGTTTGAATGGTAGAGTTGAAGAGAGGGAGAACAGCTGGAAAAGAAAGAGTATTACCGTCGACGAGTGTAGGCACAGTCGCCAGCAGCTACCATGACGGGTGAGTGAGAATTTGTTTTTTTGGCTCGTATGGCAACTGGAATTTTTTGTAGTGTTATGATGGGTTTGAAACTGAAGTTTGTTTCAATTTAGCTATGGGATTGGCTATTGTGTATGTTTATAGTGAGTTTGAATCTAGAAATTTGTTGGTGTTTAACTGTTTATGATGGGTTTGATTTCTCTTTATCATAATTGAAAATATGGGTATGTATGTTGGTGATTGGTTGAGTTTTTCTTCTGTTTGAGGGATCCGACCGTTTAGGAGGAAAAAAGGGATGCTTGCGCCTACCGAGGGCGGGGGAATACACTGGCTTTGTTTCTGATTTGTCGGATTTTGGAGAGTAAAGCTAGCTGGCTGGAGTGCAGAAATGGGACAGCCGCCGGCAATCAGTCACCGACATCAATGGTGGCAGGCTGGCAGCTAGGGAGAAAACATAGGTTGGTTGGGGGTAGTTCTACTGGACTCTGTTTTTGTTTTTAGAAAGATTTACATAGGTAGAAAGAAGAGAGTGATTGTGAATGATAATGCTTAGATATGGAAATAGTTAGGTTTGTTTGAATACCAACCTTGGTTGTTTGAGGGTTGGGATGACGTAGTCTCCTCTCCTAGCCTTGGGAGCTTGCTGGCTACTGCCGCCTTGCCTGCTTCCTTCTTTTCTTTGCTCCTTTGGCTGCTGCAAATTTACTCCTTTTTTGTATGTTTTTTGTTGATGTTTTGGTTTCTGTTGTGTTGTCTGTGTGTAGAAAAGAAGAGGAGAAACGAAAGTTTTATGCGATTTCTGTTAGAATAAAGGAGAGGTAAATGAGTGTTTTCTCTCTTGAATTTTGTCTGTATGTCTAAGGGGAAATGGGAGTGTGTTTGAGGAAAGGTAAGTAGAAAATTTTGCAAAGTTTATATGTAATTCGGGTCTAATTGTACATGTTTAGCCCCCATTTTACTTAGGTGTTTGTGCCAAATTCGCTCCTAAAAGGTTGGTTTTACGCTAGGTTCCTCGTGCTTTAGTCTGTTTCAGGATTTAACAGGTGAAACCAGCCTCGGAGTCGAAAGTTGGGCGAAAAGGATCGAAAACCGGGAGAAGAGGTGAAAAAGGATCAGTCCACGGTCTTGCAAGACCGTGAAGAAGAGGCCTTGACCGTGAATCGCGAGGTGTCCAGAGCCAAAATAGAGGTTACTGACGCAAGGTGAGTTCACGATCACTAAGATCGTGAACGAAGGCTGTTGACCGTGAACAAAAGAGATCGAAGCGGTGCGTTTTGGCGCATGCCTGCAGTTCACGAACGCATTTCGTGGTTCACGGCCGTGAACTCAGCTAGTCTCTGGTTTAAATGATGAGCTAAAAGGAGGAGAGAGGGGGGAGCCCACTTTGTGTGAAAAGGCTTCTTCAGATTTCTAGAGAGAGAAACACGAACCAAGGAAGAAGAAGGATAGGGTTTTGCTTCAAGGTGGATTTTGGGAAGATTTTCTTCAAGGAAAGCTCAACACAAGGGCCAAGGAGATTGGGAGCATCCTCCATGATGGTTTCCTCTTCTTCTCTTTGTGCTTTTCCCATCTCTAGCGTGGAGTAGATCTCCTTTCACTTGGGTGTTGTGGAACCCTAACTCTACCATGTAGTTTCTTTTATGTGAATTGGATGATTGTCATTGGGTATTGTTTAATTCAATGATTGAGGTATTATTCAATGTTGATTGTGCATGCTTGTTTTGTGCTTAGAATCCTTAGGTTTGTGCATTTTGGTGCTTAGCAACCTAAGGATTGTGCATAATTGTGCTTAGCACCCTTAGGTTTGTGCATGTTGGTGCTAGCAATCTAATTAGCCACCTTAACCTAGCTTAGAGAGGAAAATCCCCCTTCTAAGGGAGAATCAATCGAGTTGGTTTTCCTTCTACTTTTTAAGCCACCTAACTAGGTTAATTTACGGCAACCCTCAATGTTGAATTAAACATCGGTTAATCGCGATCAAGCCATCCGACCTTTGAGTTGAGTGAGGGAGTAAGTCAACTACCGATTGCCTAAACCGAGAGGGTCGAGTGACACAACCTTTGATATTTACCTCGGTTTAGCAATTGAGATTGTGGTCTCCAACCATGTATGCATCCCTCTGCGGCTCACGATTACCTTGCCCAAAACAATCGTTCTAATTTGCATAGCATGGTAGTAGTTAGGGGGAAGCGACACCCGAGTGATCCTTCCACAAAAGAGTTTCCAAACCCATTTACCTTTGTCCTATTTTATTACAATTTAGCAAACTTTCAAACCAAAAGTTTGTTGCTAGATATTGATTTCAACAATTGAAGTAGGGGTAGACGGACCGGCCCGGGTTGATATCTAAATACTTGCTCTATACTGCACACGACTAGAGTTTAAAAACTTGGACTCTAGTCGGGATTTTATTGTGGTGTAGTTTCGTGTGAGTCAAGTTTTTGGCGCCGTTGCTAG